TTGATATATATTTTCACATTTCCAATAAATTATTCGTTTCAATTTTTTAAAAATAAATCGACATTTAAAAAATAGTTTATTTTACTATTCTTTTTCTTCAAAAAAAGTCAATATTAAAGTTGTTAATGGTTAATTCGTTATTTTATGATGAATGGGAAATCAAACACATATGACCATTTTTATCACTTCACTCTTTAAATCTTCCATTCCTAGTCACTAGGCCAACTATTTTCTCTCCTCGAATTTGGTCCTCATGTCACTCAAAATATGATAACACCCTAGATGAGAAAATGCAAAACAAAAATAAAAAGATATTGTTATAGTATGCTCTAATCCATTTCTCCTGAACCAATTTGAATTTCTAGAAGCATTTATATGGATCACTCAATCTTAATTATATTACCATGACGTAAGGTTTTAATTTTTTTTTTTAATATAAATATGTGATTTTAAAATATGAAGGTCAAATATTAATAAAAAAAATTTGCTTAATAAAGATTTAATTGTTTTATTTTAATATTTTATATTAAAAATATAAATCAATCAAACAATTCATGTGACTCTATATTAATCAAATGACTCATAAAATGTAATTTTCACTTTTTTCCCTTCAAATTATATTCTAAACTTCAAATCTAGATCTTCAAATTTTAATCTAACAATCATAATTTGTTTAACTATCTTAATTTATGTGTTAGCATGACTCTTACATGAGAGAATTTAAGTTTTCATAATTCTATTGATCCATAAATATTTTATGTAACATGTTTCTTTTCTCTAGAATTTTTATCACTATATAAACTATTTCTTGATCAATTTCTAATCATCATTTTTAATAAAATATTTCATCACTGTGTCTCGTCCGTGACTCTTGTCTAAAAATCAATTTTTTACAATAATAATCGCAATGATAATGTATACACATTTCAATTACAATGTTAAATTTAATTCTTTGTATTATTTTCTTATAATAAGTTGAGTTTATTTTTAGGATATGATGTATGTTCCTTGGTTGAAAAAGTTGCTATCAATCACTACATTTTTCACAATATGTGATGTTCACCCAAACAAGCCAAGAAATGAGTGTAACATGTTTTGCATTGATTGTATTAACAATCCTTATTGTGGATCTTGTATAACATCTCATCACAACGATCATCGTGTAATCCAAGTGAGTATTATTTAAATTTGATAGTTAGATCAATGTATTTTTCTATCAAATACCCTTTATCTTCACTTTATTTTGTTACATTTGAGAATCTTTATCACTCTTTTTACTTTAATTTGAAATTTTGAATTTTAATGCTTGAAATTTTAAATTAGATAAGGAGATCATCTTATAATGAAGCAATTAAGACCACTGATATTCATAATTTTGTGGACATCCTTGGAATTCAAACCTACATGATTAATAGTTGTGCAGTCATATTCATAAACAAGAGAGAACATGGCCATTTGAAGAGGAACAAAATTGATAAAATTGGTTACATGCACGAGTCTCTTTGTAGGATATGCAAAAGAAATCTCATAGACCCTACTTACTTTTGCTCCTTGGCGTGTAAGGTAAATTATTAATCTTTATATTTTTTTTTTTATTTTATAATATCTTTGTGATATTACATTTAGACATTTGATCATTAAAATTTATATATTAAAAAAAAATCTTACATGAATTGAATTTTTCAAGTTTTAATTTGTGATTGAAATTTTATTTATGAATACTCTTTTATAATTATTTATTTATTTATTTGATTTTCAAAAAAATAAAATAGATATAATATAATTAAGGTGAGATGAAATTAAATGTAAATTATAATATTGTTCAATGTTTTTTAATAAAAAACAAGAGGCAAATGAATGTTATATCTTATACCTTTATTTCTTTCATTTCTAATATATTTTAATAAATAATTAATTTATTCTTGCATTATGTGTATATGATATAAGTTTGAATCGATAAAAAAGGAGGGAGGCTTTTTCATAAGCGCAAAAAATATGGAGGAAACGAAAAAATTATTAGAGAAATCAATAAGGAAATTTTACAAAAAGATAGGTCAACAAAATCAAGCAAAGAAAATGTGAAACGAAAAATTGAAGAAGCAGGAATTGACGAAGAAAATGATCAAGAGGAAGAAGAGAACAAATTAGAGGAAGAAGATAAAAAGGAGGTTGAAGAAAAAGATGACAACAAAGAAAGTGTGGTTCCAGTCAATCTTCCTTGGACTTCAAAACGCAAGCCAAATTCAAGAAGAAAAGGAATACCTCATAGAGCAACTTTTTTTTAAGGTTGTTAATATAAGAATAGAAATAATTTAAATAATATCATAAGTTATAGATTTCTAACTCATGGATTTTATTCCGAACATTTTATTTTGTTCAATAATGTTTAAAGGGTGTTGCTCATTAAACCCTAACTATTTCTCCCAAATTCAATAAATGTTTGAAAATATCATTGTTCAAACATTTTCTTTTGAAATGTACCCTATACCGTGTTGTTCATATGATTTCACTAAATAAATAAATTAAGGTTTGTTCAGAAATTAAATTTGAGATACCATTATCCGTGAAAAAATTGCAAGTATAACAATAGAAAATAGTATATTTAGGATTTTTTTTGCGAAATAACAATCCGCATGAAATCCTGTCAGAAATTCTGATGTCCAAAGTTAACTTTTGGATGCATCGTGTTCTATTTTGATCTTTTAGTATTATTACATACGAAAAATACCATATATATATATATATATATATATATATATATATATATATATATATATATATATATATATATATATATATATATATTTGTAGACAATGTTTAATATTAGTGAAACATGAAAAATTTGCTGCGAAAAATTTTAGGGTGGGTTCGAAAGATTACTTCCTAACATGTCAAAGAGGAACTTTAGGATTTTATAGAATTTTGAAGAAATATATAAGGTGTATTAGCAATTGCATTTTGGAAAATCAGTATCTAGTGTAGCAGTAAAAAAGAACAAAATTGTTTGTTGGTTAATTTTAAATGAAGAGATATTTTGTTATCTTAAGGAGAATACTCAACTAATCCACCATAAACATGAGAAAGGTGGATCTTTACATCACAAATGAAAGGAGGACTCCAACTTAGATAAGATTCAACACCAACATCAACTGATATCATGGAGATAGAAGGATTATAACTCAACTTCAAAGATGACTAATGTCTAATCTTTAAGAAAATTTTTAAACAAATACGCTAAGGCAAAAAAGTTTTTGTGTTTTTTAGTCTTTGAAGAAAAATGTTTAATTTTTATTAAATGGATTAAGATTTGAAAAACAAAGAAGGCATTGAAAAGGAGGGAGAAGATTGAAAAATTGAAGAAGATGAGAAATAGATGAAGGGATCTCCTAAAGCACAAAGTAAAAGCTAAGGTATGAAAGGTCTAACCAAACAAGAGAAATCATCTTGACACAAGTCAAACAATGCATCTCATCCATTTGGATTAAAGCCACACAATGAAGTAATAACCATCAGATGAATAATAGTACCTCAGGTGCAAGCTTAATATCAGATGAGCTTGATGTCTCAGATGAATTATTCTTGCATCATATGACTTTTAAAGTAACACCTGCATACAGAAAAGTTCACAATACACAGACAAAATAACAACAAGGTTTTGAGGTCCAAAGGTCTCAAAGTCTCAAGATTCCATCCTAAGGTCCAAAAAGTCTGAATACTCCAAGAAGCAAGGGGATAGTCACCATAGTCCAAAGAGAGCCTTAGGCCTTTTAATGTTCAAGTTGATTATTAATGTCTTTAAAAGAAAAAGAAAGTTTAAGTGAGCAAAAGAAGAATGATATAAAAAATAAAATGCTGAAGTGAGCAAAAGGAAAATGACATAAAATAAAGAGAAAAAAGATAAATGAAAAGAATGATAAAGATATTGAAATTAAATGACATAAAGTAAATGACAGAATTTAATTTATATAAAGTAAAAGTTAGTGCAATAAATGTTAGAGTTAGTTTTCTGATTAAGGACAAATTTAGCGCTATGTTAATCAATTACAAACAGACTTATCTAAAATATCCATAAGCTTAGATGAACTAAAAAGTCCAAATGCTTTCCAAATTGATAAAAAAAAAGAAGGAGAAGAAGGAGATGAAGTAGAGATAAGCAAGAAAATAAATCCCAAATTGAGTCAAAGGATTAATCAAGTTATCATCAAAATCATTCATCCATTTTGGTAGAATTTTAACTCAACACCTAAGATCCAATGAGTTTGATGAAACTTATGATTAAATTCAATATGATCCAAGATCATGCATAATATATACAAAATTAAAATTGCAATTAACAAGCAAAATATAGTAAGAAAATTATTTTTAAATTGTTTTTAAAATGAAAATAAAAGACAAAATAGAAAACTATATTCAAAACATCAAATAAAATTCAAAGGAGACCATAGAAAAATCAGAAATGATCTTTAATATTTTTAGAACTTTTTGGTAATTTTTAAAATCAGAAAAGTAATTTTAAACTAACTAAAATTAATCAAACAAGTGAAAATGATTAAAAATAGAAAACATCAAAATGAAATTCCAAAAAAATTACACAAAGTCAGAAATAATCAGAATATTTTTGTGAATTTTTCATAATTTTTGAACGAAAAATGAATTTAGTACGAATTTTTGAAGTTTAAAAACAATTAGTAAAAATAAAATAAGCAGAAAAGCACCAGCCATCAGATCTGGTCAATCTGTCAAAGTAGGTGCATCTGATGGAATTAAATAAAAGGTGCATGGTAACTGCAAAAATGTGCGTGTAGAGAATCTAAGTTATTGTCATCTTCTCAGGTGAGGACAAGTGGCTCCGGTGGCAACTTGTCAGTCACTCACCGACTGCACAAATCTCCAGAAATAAAAAATAAATAAAAAAATGAGCACATGTTAATATTGAGAGATAAGAGACTCCATCAGATTGTTTCAAAAAGTTATTAATCACTCTCTCTCTCTCTTGCCAATGTCACGTTCTCTTATTCTTTTGTTCTTTTTAAAAAATCCCACGGTCTCTCTTTCTTTTCATAAACAACAACAAACTTGTTTTATTAAAAGCCCAGACAAGATAAAAACAAGGTTGAGGATAGAGGAGAGTGGATACAGAGGCGATGGTCGGAGGCTTCACGATGGTGTTCGCCAGAGTTCGCGGCGGTGCTGCCATGAACTTTTTCCAAAATCAATTTTTTTACACTGATCCACGCGGTTTTCACCCATAGTTCTGAATCTCAAATTAGATTTTTAAAAAAATAGTTTAAATGAGTAGATCTGCAAACAAAATTCTAAAAAATACTTGAGTCCAAACAACAAATCAACATAGAACATTATAGAAAGGAAGAAATTAGTGGCAGATTCGGTATCAGGAACAATGAAACAACCTTTTGGTATTCGAAAATGGAGAACAAAGGCGCAAGGTGGGCTCAGGCGGTGGTTTCCGGCGGGTCTGAGCAGATTCCGACGAGGTAACTTGTTTTTTTTCCGTTTTTTTATGTTTGTATGATTTTTAGGATTTTTTGTGGTTCTATGTCAGTATGAATATCCTCTATGTCAGTGCTCAATGAATGTTTATATAGTATGTTAGAACTTAGGGTTTTTTTGTGTGAATGTTGTGTTGAGATTATGTTTAAATGACATGTTGATTTCTTGCTTAAAATCCCAAACAAAAATGCTTGTTTAGTCCAATAATTGCACTTTTTTTGTTTGCAAAATGTGTTATGATATGTTTAACTTGGGCTTGAAGTGAATCATGTTGTTGGATTTGTTTTGAAAATTATTTTGTTGGAAATGTTACGAACTTTTGGAAAATTTATTTTGTTGTTGGATTTGTTTCAGAAATGTTGGAAAAAACTTGATGAAAACAATGGTGTTGTTGAATTTTTTATTGAACTTGTTGGACTTATTCTTGTTGCTTTTGAATATTGCTAACTTCTCCCTCTTTGTTTATTTTTCCATGTGATGATGCATTATTGGTAAGGAGGAAAAGGATTGTTGGAGAAGAAAGGAAAAATTGTGGCTACTTGTTGCACCCCAAAATTTACCCTCTTGATTTTAGAATTTTAAAGGCTTATGTTTCATCATATGCATTCATACATTGTGATAGGATCAAGGTATTTTTTTTATTCCCGAGTTCCTCTACAAGCTATGAAAGATTATTGTGTTATCAATCAGTGAAAAAAGGGTCTCATGTCCTCAATATTTGAGTCACTCAAGCTTTAAGGGTCCCTCATACCTCCAGGCATCTCAAATTGCCTCTTTGATTCATCAGAAGTTTAAAATTGCAAGTGTTGATTCTTGAATCACTGTTCTCCTATGCATCTCTTGAGATTAGGTTTGTGGCCATATGAAGTGTATGATGCTTGTATGGGTCAAATTTATGAATTAATATCCTCTCATTATTATATGAGACATCTTTGTTCAAAGAATTCCTCAACATGTCCAGAGAAATTAGGGTTTTGAGACTGGATCATCATCTCCTAGCATAGAGGGCCAAACTAGGGTTTTGGATTTAATTAGGAAATCTTTGATTTTTAAGGCAAGACTTTATTCCATGCTTCTCTATATGTTAATGAGGACTTATAATTGAAGGATTGAGCACCAATTTTGATTGGAAGTGGTTCAATTGATCAATTGGAGGTAAAACATTCATTTGAGCAAAAGTCAACAAAAGTCAACTGTAACCAAAGAGACTTTTGGTCAACATGCAATTCAGCATCCACATTTTCATGTTGTATGGTCATTGATGAAATAAAACCAATAGAGTTTTTGAATTTGAAGATAACTTGTCAAAGAAGTTATTTGAACTTTTGAAAAAAAATTGTGTTCCTATTGAAAATGTGAAAACCTTATATGGTTGGAAAGAGGAGAGAAAGTTATTTAACTTTGTCCTTGTGGTGTCAAGTCCAAAAAGTGAACATTTTGAGAGATATTTGGCTTAGAAATTTCTGGACACTTGGAGATTTTTAAGGGATTTGACTAAAAGATTCATTTCTTCATGATCAGTTTTGAGATGTCAAATTGTTTCAATTTTGAAAGGTGTCAACATCAAAATTTTAGCTTGAATCCTCCTATGCATTTTTTATTCAAGAACATCTCATTTGGTTGAGTATAGGGAGAGATATGATGTTTAGAATATCAAGTCTTGAAAAAGCAAGATGGCCCAGCATGAGAGGCCTCCTGCGCGCAGAGTTTCATCAAGGCTTGGTAAATCAATTGGATAAATAATTAAGGTCAAAGTGGATGTCTGGAATTCCTTCTTCATTTTTGTTTCAAGTTTCATCTATTTGGATCTTATTTGAGAGAGATATCTTGACTTTAAGTCAAGGGTCCATTTCTGGCAACTAGAGCAAGACGCGCGAGTGTGGGGCAAGAATTTGCCTGGCCAGGGCAAAAAAATTTTTTTTCATGTTAGATTCTCAACATTCTGCACACTTCATTTTAAATCTTCATCAACATAAAAGTTAGAGTTTAACATATAAAATTTCCACAGGCCTCCATTTGAGAAAAATGCACGAGTAAAATTGGAGTATGAAGTGTTGGACTAGACTGACTTAGTGAGCATGCAAGGATCAATTTCATCACCATGTGACCAACCACTTGTCTTCATAATTAGGACATCATTCTCAGGGTTTGTTAATGTCAATATTAAATAGCATGTTCTAAGCTTTCCAAGGACCTTAATAATTTAGAAAACGCATGATGGAATATTGAGTTATGAAGTATTGATCATGGCAGGCCCTATGTACATGCATGGCAAGGAAGAAATGTGTTTTTGTGCATATGTTAAACTCACAGCATGAGGCTTACGGTATGTTCCATGCACATTATACACATCACAGGTTCATTATTTTTCTTTCCAAAATGGGGCAAACAATGCAGCTCATGATTTTTCCATACTTTTCCAAAACGGGAAATATTCCCTCCACTCAAAATACCTCACCCATGTGCACTCAGGACTTCCAGCTCACCACTTATGCACTTCTGACTCTCTTTTCCTCTCAAAAAGCAGCAAGCACTACCCTCCTTACAAACAAAACACAAAGCATACATGCATTCTCTCTCTCTCTCTCTCTCTCTCTCTCTCTCTCTCTCTCTCTCTCTCTCTCTCTCTATATATATATATATATATATATATATATATATATATATATATATATATATATATATATATATATATATATATATATATATATATATATATATATATATATATATATATATATATATATATATATATATATATATATATATATATATATATATATATATATATATATATATATATATATATATATATATATATATATATAGTTATTCGAAATTCTCTTCATTATTAGAATTTCTTCTCTAAATTGCTCCCAAGCTTCTTGCTTAGATCTTATTCACTTGCTCATTCTGCTATTTTGAAGTTGAAAGAGGAAGATGCATTAGGTTTCTTTTTCAAATCAGAGGCTCTTAGTGAATTTATTTTTCACGACTTGAGATGAGTGATTCTGAACTTCGATTCATCTTTTCATCTTGCATTTGTATCATAGATCTTGTGCATATTGGTTTAGCTGGCCAGATCTTAGATCTGATGTATAATTTTGTATGATTTGTTGCTTGGACTGTGCTCTGCAAGTTGTGTGAAAATTACATGGTGTAATGATTTCGTGCTCACTTTGTGCTTTAATCTTGCTTTATTTTAAGAATCCATGAGCATCACGTTATTCCTTGCAGTTTTGTAAACAATTTTGGTGTTTGAATCGTTTCATTTGGTTGAGAATTGAAAGAGAAATATGGATTTGAAGTTTTGTTGATGGATCTGAGTTTTTGAACATGTTTCAATTTCGTTGATCAGTGATTTTCGCGCCATCTTTTCTCTTTGATTTGTGCATGGATTGTGGAAATTCTTGTTGCTATTGTGTTCATCATACTTTAATCTCAAGTTTTGATGTTTACATAATTCATTTTCAGGAAGAAAAGAGGAAGATATCAAGTTGTGAACATCACCATGCATAACTATTTTCGTGTTAGGGTTTGGTGCTTTGACATGAACGATTACATGGCAATTTTTAATTGAACATGATTTAGATCTTTTACAGCGCATCCTATTTAAATCAGATGTGGTAGATCTATTGCATTTTGTTTTTTATAATTCATTTTAATTGTTTTCTTAATTTAATTTTTAATAGTTTCAACTTTTATCCCCAGTTAGAGTATATAAGAATTAAACTTCCCAGACGAGTCGGAAGGTTATCCATCTCTTTTATCCCCGGTTAGAGTATATAAGAATTAAACTCCCCGGACGAGTCGAAAGGTTATCCATCTCTTTTATCCCTAGTCAGGATATATAAGAATTAAACTCCCCAGTAGAGCAATGAACAAATAATGTTCCTGAACTCTTCTCCTCAAACAGAAGTCAACATTCCCCAGCTGATTTTCCTCAAACAGCAAGCAGGAGTCCCCAGCGGAAGCATTCTAGAAAAAGTTGAAGATTACATATTTTCTTCATCACCAGCACCATTCAGGGATTCATTTTCCCCAGCAAGATGTCATACGAAACTGTTGATACATTTCCAGCAACATTTCACATCCATACATCATCTACCAATATCATAGCATATGCATACGAAACTCATATAGCATAGTCTCATTTATTTTGATAACATCATTACACAATGCATTTCATACATCATGGCATTAAATACAGCTAACCCTTTACCTTTTCAGGAAAATCAATCAACAAACAAACATCATCAACTACTTATATGACCCGACAATCTTCTCCAAGGCTACATCTGACAAAGGGCTATTTCAACAATTTACTCAGAGGATCATTCAAAAAAAGACTTCTTCTGGCTCAGATTAAGTCAAGTGTAGATTTATTCTGATACTTCTTCCATTAGACATCTTCTAGATCAGATTAAATCAAGCGTAGATTTAATTTGATACTTATTCCAGTAGACATTTTCTGGATCATATTAAATCAAGCATAGATTTAATTTGATACTTATTCCAGTAGACATTTTCTGGCTCATATTAAATCAACCATAAATTTATTCTGATACTTTTTCCAGTAGACATTTTCTGGCTCAGATTAAATCAACCATAGATTTATTCTAATACTTCTTCCAGTTAAAGACAAAAGACCTCTTTTGGATTAGATTAAATCAACCATAAATTTATTCTGATACTTCTCCCAGTTAAAGACAAGCACAG